GATCAGTTGTTCCTTCCTCTCCAAACTCCTTCTCCCCTCCCCTCGCCTCCCCTCGCCTCCCCTCCCCTCCCCCCACAGGGAAGGTTTGGAAAGAGGTGCAGTGGCTGGCTGAAATCTGCTCCCCTGGCCCTTGATTGATTTCTAGCCTCCCTGTCTCAGCGGCCGGGTTAGCCAGGGTGTTGCTGCCTCTCTCCCCTTCCATCCAGCCCTGTCACATATCCCCCTCCCCGCACAACACTGTGGGGCTGGGCTCCTTGGGGCGCGGGCAGTGCACTCGCAACAGGCCCTCGGCATTGCCGTGCTCGGCTCCGGCCCTGTTTTGCACTTGGAAGCGGAACAGTTGCAGGGACAGGACCCGCCGCGTTACTCTCGCATTCCTGGCTTTATTCCGGTGCATCCAGTGCAGGGGCCATGGTCCGTGAGGAGGGCGAATTGTCATCCGAGCAAGCGCAGGCTCCCGTGGCCTGTCCTTCTCGACACTGGCATGGTTCCTCTCTCTTGGGAGGAGCTTCCGGCTCGGGTACAGGACGGGTTGCTCCTGCTCCCCGACCGTTCGGGACAGCACAGCACCCAATCCCACTTCGAGGCATCGGTCCGGAGTAAGCACTCCCTCTCGGAGTCGGGGGCTACAAGCACCTGCTCTCTGCACAGGGCTCAGTTGAGTCGCTGAATGCCTCCTCTGCTGCAGGGGTCCATTTGTGACGGCGAGTCGGGGTCCTCCGATCCTGTAGCAGCAAGAACAGACACCGCCAGCCAGTAGAACAGGGGGGTTTATTGCTGCTCCAGGGCACAGCCCAGCACAGACGCGATGGGTCTTCAGGAGTCTGGGCCAGGATGCCTCTGCCCCCTTGAGGTGGGTCCCTGGGACCCTAGATTCCAGCCCCCTCCTTAGATTGGTTCCTTCATGAGTCCAGCCCCAGACTGCTCCTTACCCCAACCCTCACTTCCTAGTTCCCTCACTGCCCTCAACCGGTCAGACCGGTTGGGTCTTAGGCAGCCCACCTGCTGGGCAGTGCTCTGGACACCGGCCAGTAGGGGTCACCCACAGCCCAAGCATAACGGCCAGCAAGGTACTGACACTACGGCACATCATTGCACCACATCCGGGCCTCAGGCTCTCGTTAAGTCGGTCAGGGGCCTTGCCCTGGAAGCAAAGTGGGGGATAAACCTCCGCTAATACCCCACTAGTCCCATGAATGCCCAGACCTGCTTCTCGGGCCGGCCGGGACCAGTTCTGTATCGCGGCCACCTCATTCAGCTGGGGCCTCAGTAAGCCCCTTGTCACTAGATACCCCAGGTATTTGGACTCTGCTGGTCCCACCACACACTTTGCTGGGTTTGCGGTTTGGCCAGCTCTCCTTCAGGTGTCCAATATGGCCTCCACCTTCGCCAGATGCCTGTCCCAGCCCGGGCTGTGTGTGATGACATCATCGAGATAAGCAGCTGCAGACGCATGGTCTGGGCGCAGTAGCGTCTCCATAAGCCACTGGAAGGTCGCAGGGGCGCCGTGTAGCCCAAAGGGGAGGCCGGTATTCTGATCTAGGTCCTCAGGGTGGCAAAGGCTGGCGTCTCTCTGGCTTCCTTGGCCAAGGGGACTTGTCAGGTCAAGAGTGGACAAAAACTGAGCCTTTCCCAGCTGGTCAATCGGCTCGTCTATTCGCGGCACGGGGTATGTGTCAAACTTTGACACCTCCTTCAATTTCCTGAAATCATTGCAAAGCCAGAGGCTGCCGTCGGGCTGAGGCACTCGGGCGCTGGGCCTGGACCATTGGCTGTGGGGCTCCTCAACAATGCCCGGTTCCAGCATTGTTCTTACTTCTTTTCATACCTCCTCTCGCTTTGCCTCTGGGATTCAGTAGGGCCTCACACGCACCCTTACTCCTGGGTCTGTGATTATGTGGTGTCACCTCAGTGGTCCAGCCGGGCTCTGTTGAGAACGCGTCTGAGTGTCGCTCCAGCATCACCAAAACCTCTGCCCGCTGGTCCGGGGTTAATTCTGAGATCTCCCCTGTCTCTGTCAGCTTTCTCTGCCGTCACTGTCGCCAGGGTGGCCAGCTCCACCGCCCTGTCTTTCCAGGGTTTCAGCAGGTTAATATCATAGAATCATAGAATCATAGGACTGGAAGGGACCTCGAGAGGTCATCGAGTCCAGCCCCCCGCCCTCAAGGCAGGACCAAGCTCCACCTACACCATCCCTGACAGATGTCTATCTAACCTGTTCTTAAATATCTCCAGAGAGGGAGATTCCACCACCTCCCTTGGCAATTTATTCCAATATTTGACCACCCTGACAGTTAGGAATTTTTTCCTAATGTCCAATCTAAACCTCCCCTGCTGCACTTTAAGCCCATTACTCCTTGTCCTGTCCTCAGAAACCAAGAGGAACAAATTTTCTCCTTCCTCCTTGTGACCCCCTTTTAGATATTTGAAAACCGCTATCATGTCCCCCCTTAATCTTCTTTTTTCCAAACTAAACAAGCCCAGTTCATGAAGCCTGGCTTCATAGGTCATGTTCTCTAGACCTTTAATCATTCTTGTCGCTCTTCTCTGTACCCTTTCCAATTTCTCCACATCTTTCTTGAAATGTGGCGCCCAGAACTGGACACAGTACTCCAGCTGAGGCCTAACTAGTGCAGAGTAGAGCGGCAGAATGACTTCACGAGTTTTGCTTACAAAAATATGGTCGATTTGGTCATGTTTCCGGCGACTAGATTGCTGCACCTTATAATCTACTTACCCTAGGACCTCAACCACGTCCTAGGGCCCCTGCCGCTTGGCGAGGAGCTTGCTGTCTGCTGATGGGACCAGCACCATCACCCGGTCGCCCACCTGGAATCTCCAGACCATCGCCCGACAGTTGCAGTAGGTCTGCTGGGCCGGCTGGCCCTTTTCCAGGTGCTCTCTTAAAACAGGAGTAACCTGGGCAAACCTGTCCTTTGCCTGGAGGCTGTGCTCTGTGATATTGCGTCCATGGTTTGGCTGCTCCTCCCAGGCCTCTTTGGCGAGGTCTAGGATGCCTCGGGGGTTACGCCCTGGGACAGTGAGTCGGGGGGCCCCCAAATCCTGCAGCCCAGTAGCAGCAAGAACAGACTCCGTCTGTGGTAGAATCAAGAGGAGTTTATCGTTCCTTCAGGGCACAGCCCAGCACAGACGGGATGTGGCTACAGGGGCCAGGGCCAGGATGCCTCAGACCCCAGGGTGGGGGCCCATCGCCCCATGCTTAGCCTCTTCTCTCCATGCTTCCCCGACAGCCACTGCCTCCCTCCCAGGCCCTGCCCTCCAGCCAGGTGCTGGTCTCCACCCTCCTCCCTTTGTCTCTCTCCCTGGGAGGCTGAGCCGGGGTGTCTGGGTTAATCCACATTTGGGAGAGTCACTGAGAATCTCACATCACGGTGCAGGGGGGCACTGGGTCACAGAGCAGGCAGCCCCTCCCCCACTGCACCCCCACTACATCACACGCCCGTGCAACAGTTCGACCGGGGAGAAACCCGTGGACACCCGCGGAACTTCCCGGATGGCAAACATGAGGTATGGGAGTAGGGTATCCCAATCTTTCCCATCCCAGCTCACCACCTTCCAGATCATGTCCTTGAAGGTGTGCTCAATGAGGCTGTCTGTCTGCATGTGGTAGACTGATGTCCTCAGGGCTCGGATGTGGCGCACACAGGTCTTTCATGAACTTAGAAACAAAGGGAGTGCCCTGATGGGGTAGGATCTCCGTGGGTAGCCCCACCCTCGAAACGATCGCAACGAACTCCCTCGCTAGTGTCTTGGAAGGGTATTCCGCTGGAGCCGCCTCCGGCTAGCGGGTGGCGGAATCCAGGCCCACTGGTATGCTCCGGTGTCCCGGGCTGACTTCTCCAATGGGCCAGCTAGGTCCATAGCGATGTGCTTAAAGGGGACTTCAATAATAGGCAGGGGCACCAGTGGGGCTCTTAAGTGCAGCCGGGGCCCATGCAGCTGCCATTCGGGGCAGGAGGCACAGCACCGCCGGACTTCCACATACACCCTGGGCCAGGAGAACCTTTGGAAAATCCGCTCAAGGGTTTTCTCAGCTCCTAGGTGACCCCTGAACTAATGGCCACGGGCCAGGGCCAGCTGGCTCGCCGGTGTTTCTGGGGCACCCAGAGCTGTTCCACCACCGGTTCC